TCTTTAATGACGGGTACTAACAGGACACTTAAAATAGAGTCAGGTAAAAGACCATGAATAAAAAACGATGTATACAAATGGAAAGTAGAGGAGCTAGCCTTGCATTTGCATACTTTAAATGTTCAGCTGTTCAGCCCAGTGGCTTTATTGTTAGATAATTTGGTAATAGCTTTATGAACCTCATAAGGCAGGATTTCATCTATATGGTCAACATTATTTGCAGTGCATGGTTCACTATGGATGCAATTAAATAATCTGCTGTAATGTTGGCGCCACATCTCCACAATGTTAGCAGTGCCTGATATGCCATCAACCGAACATGGGAGGGATGTTTTGTGGGATGTCATACCTCTAACTTCTTTCCAGAAGCCTTGGGTATTGTTACAGAAGAGTTTTCTGGCCATTGAGTCAGACCTCATTGCTCTTTCATTTTTACCAATATAACGCACAGCATACTTATATTGGGCATTGGTATACTTTTTATGTTCAAAGACAGGCCCTGATCTTGGTCTACCTGCCTCAATCCATTCCTTAGAAGCCTCTCTAGCTCTATTAAAAAATTCAACCACATGGGTATTCCAACCTGGCCTGATCTTATTTTTCTTTTTTATTTGTTTATGAAAGTATTTAGTTGATGCAATCAAAACATTAACTATTTCATTATACACAGAACAAATGGATCTAATGTGCTCAGAATTTTTACAATTAGCATCTCTACAGCTAACTGCTTCTCTGGGCAAGTAGATATTCCTGAGTGAGTTATCTGTGCACATCGAATAAGATAGCAGATCCTCCTTTGACAGTGAGCTCCAGTCTAAGTGTAATTTGTTGCTTTCAGAGTACTTTTCTGTCATTGGTAACCACTGTAAATGTATCTGCATCCCAAATGGAATATGATCGGCAGTAGAGAATTCATACAGGATTTTCATGTCAGTCAATGAGGCATGTGCATCTGCTGTGGTTACACGGTGATCCAACCATGAGGTTGTATGCCATGCCTCACTAATATATGTAAAACTATCTGTAGGCAGCAGAACTTTCGTTGAGAGAATTAACCCACTATCCTCACAAAACTGCTTTAAATGAGTACCAAAGATAGATTTACTGTCAGTGATATCAGAGTTCATGTCACCAATAACAAACACATTAAAAAATTTGTTATCTTGTATAAAAGAGTTAATAAAAGCAAGCTTGTTAAGATACTCAGTTTCATTAGCAATGCACTCATATGGGGTGTACACATTCAGGATAACACATTCCCTGTCATGTTGTGTCAGGTGTATTGCTATGCACCAGTCCACTTCCAGTCGGATTATTTTAACCCAAGGATCTAGTCTCTTATCCCATAATGTTGCCACACCACCGGCAATCCGTCCTCGTATTATTCCATCCCCAATATCAACACTGGACTCCCCAGCCCCGTGGAAACGCTCATTTATAGAGTTCAGTCCTTCTAAATCCTGCTTTGTCAGAAAAGTCTCTTGTAGACACAGCACATCACATTGACTCAGAAGTTGGTCTACAACAACCCGGCAAGCTTTGTCCTCTGCACTATGGCCCAAGCGCAGGCCATGGCAATTATATGACAGAACTTTAAGAGCCATCTGTTCAGTTTTATTTGGCCTCGGTGCCACAAGCAAAGGAGGCCCCACTCATCTGCATCCCCGGAGGAACGGCACCACTCATACCCACAGCTCCAGCCCTCCGCGGCTCATAAAAACGCCTTACATAAGCTCCCACTGGCCAGAGATCAGGATTGTACATCTCCGCCACTTCATTACACTCAGATGAGACTTTGAAAGAGGCAAACCTGCTATTATCAGAGCTTATTTTCAGACATGTAACTTCACGACCCAGCTGGCCCTGAAGATAGTCAGTTAAAGTCTGTACATCCAAGTCAGGCGAGAATTTAGAAGCAAAAACACTCACCAGTTTTGTTGTCACAGTTTTTATGTTTTTAGCATTTGTTTTCACTCCAGGTGTAGTACCGCGTAATCCCGCTTGTCGCTTTCCTCTCCTCACAACCGCGCTCCACTTTGGGGATTCCGGTGGATATGTAGTTTGACCAGAGATCTTGCTATCTCCAGGGGCAGCTTCCCTGCGCAGTCCGCTCGCCCGATCCGTATCCCTTCTCCCAGCATTTGCTGCAAGCCCAGCAGCCTGAGTAACTGGCGGGTTCGCAGCGTTTGCTTCGGCACTTCTGCGCTCACCCTCCGTGCAGTCGCTGTCACTGCGTCCATCGCTTCCGTGTACGCCGCCAGCACAGATGACAGGTGCAGATCCACACCTGGTCCTCAGGTACCGCATCCGCTGCACATTCCAGGCTGGAAACCCGGCGGTTCACATCTGTTGTGATCAGACGAAGGTCCTCACATACGTCCACCTGAAGTTTCAGTGCGCACTTCATCGCTCCAACCTCAGCATGCAGTTGCTCCATTCTCTTGAGCAGACCGCAGACATCCATGTTTGAGAAAGTAACAGGAGGCAAATCATCCAAATAATGAGAGACAAAACGTGGCACATTTTCCCCACATTCATTTAGGACTTTTAGACAGCTTTTGATGTTGTTTATGTCTTTTTGCGCTCCTTTGTGCGCTACATTTCGCTGCGTAGTAGTGCACAGGTCAAACAGCACTTTCTTGGAGGCCTCTATAGACTCGGTGTCAAAAGTGTTAATAGCCATCAGCACTATTTCATCCTGGCTCAAAGTTCTGATTTTTACAGCCAAAAAGTTCAAGAGCTCATCCTCCACAATTATTTTTCCATCCACAGTCCTGTAGATCTCAGGTTTTTGTCTAGATCGACATGAAGCTGGGACAACAGATACACACGCTGTTGCTCCGTCAGCCATCTTACTTTCATCTTACTTGTGTAGTAAGATGGCTACATAGTGTAGAGCGGATGTAGATTTGACCAGAGTAAAAATGGGCTTGTGCACGCATTTTTTTTAAAAGTGAAGGGAGTGGGTCACAATACCTTTAATGTGTTCTAATAAAAGTAGCTATATGCTCTAAAGTTGTTTATGTTAAATTTGGAAAATTTACCTGTTGGATATGAAGTAACTATTTTATTATTGAAGAGAACAGCTATTAGCCTGAAGATGCTTTAACGTTATTCGCGGCAACTACTGTAGGAATAAGACTTTGTAGTCGTTTTGTTTTTCACCAAGTGTATACAAAACAAAATTACGTCTATGAAGGTGAGAGTGACAAAAAGTTTATATTTTGAACAAAGAATTCTAAATTTAGAAAACAATTATTATCAAATTATTTGCAAATTATTCCACTAGCAATGTAACCTGACTCCGCCAGATGGATTTGCTCCGCATATCCATCTGGAAACCTTCCGTTGAAGTAATTTTGGGAAGGGGTGAAAATACTGTTTAGCTGATTGGCCTATGTTGGTGATAGACGGGCCAAATGAACCTATCAGATCAACGAAGCATATGACGTACTAACAGAGCAACGACGAAAACACAACAATCTTTTTTCTCATAGAAAAGCCTCCAGAGCAGTGTTTTGCTCTTCTTTCAGTGAAGAAATACTCTGTAATTCCGATAAAACTTGCTCGATAGCCACGCTAACGCTAGTTTCATCGGCTGAAGCCGCCATGTTCTTTAGACTGAACTGTCGCGCTTCTCGTTGCGTCGCACCTCAACCCGCCTCAAAGCCAACGCTGATTGGACGTTCGTTTGGTGAACGGCTCCAAATTTTCTTTAACAGAGAGACTCCAGACTGATTAGCGAGTGAAACCTTGAAAGCTCGCGAGATCAGGATGGTCTCACGAGGCTACTAGCGATGGGTTTAAAATGCTAATTATTACATAGCATTAGTTTTGATTTTTTTTTATTTGTCCTTATTTGTTATTCATTAGAATTTGTGTTGCATGTAAAGAAAAAACAAACAAAAGAGAAAGGTTTCTTTAATGAAATAGTAGTAGTCGTCTACATGTTATGTTATTATTGACAGGATCCCACTGGCCTCATCTTTGAGTGTCTCTCCAACAAATACCTATTGTAAGACAGGCTCAAAAACTCACACTTCTTTGTAAAAATAACACACTTAGTCCTTTTTTTCCAGCATCAACATCCGCTTTGAGCGTCTCTATTGTCTGGAGCTGCTCTGCAGTGAATCGCTCTTCACTCCCCCAGAAATGCAGGAAGGTTTTTTTCACTCCATTGCAGCACTTTCCTCTTTCCTTCTGTGTCTGCTGAATTACAGCTAGCATCAGCAACTAAGTCTGAGAGCTATTGGCACAGACACACTTGCATATACTCTGCTGCTACCGATGGAAACGGTCACCATGGAAACATCCCCCTCTCCCGCTTGGAGCTCCACCAGCAGCAGGTCCACAGAGGGCGTGGGGAGGGGGGTGCAAAACAACAAACGCTCTCATTTTTTGTCTGATATTATTGTCACCGTTAAGGACTACCTTCAATGTGTGTGTGTGAGAGGGAGAGACAATGCTCTGCCTTTTTTAGCCCCAGGCTGTGCAGTAATTACAGTCACCATTAGCCTCTCCTAAATCCAGGCAGATGTATGTCAGTGAGGAGGAGAGGAGATGCTACCTGAAGGGTAGGTGTCTGTCGTTTACTTTTTGGTAAATCTGTAGGTATGTAAAGACACACAGACGGCCTAATGAGGTTTGGATCAGATACCAGAACCAAAGCAGGACGAACTGTTATAGCAAGAGGAACATAGCAACCGCAACCAAAGGAAAAGCAAAACTCAGGAGTACAGTTAAAAATTGCACCGATCGTATCACTTTAACCAAAACAAAAGGCTGAATTATCAAGCAGTGACTCATCCGCTGCTTTCTTGTAACCCATATTCCATTAAACTGGGTTTCTGTGTCAAATATTCCCACGTGGTTTCGTCAAACGAACTGTTTCCTAGAATTCTCTACCCTAGGTCCTTCCTGTATTTTGTTTTTTTTTAAGTGTTTGCACATGTCTGCATTGACATTTTCTCCGTCTCTTTGCTCTGCTTCCTGTGTTGCAGCTGACATTATCTCTACGGTGGAGTTTAACTCAACAGGGGAGCTGTTGGCCACTGGGGATAAAGGAGGAAGAGTGGTTGTCTTCCAGAGGGAGCAGGAGGTAGGAAATGCCAACAATTCGATGCTAATTGTGCTGCCCTTTTCTGCTGGAAACTGCTGGACACACGCATAACGATTTAGCAGGATTGTTTGTTTTGGTTTGGTGCTCCAATTTAAAGGAAAAAAAAAGGCTGCCTTACATTATCAGGGAACAACTAGCTCTGCAGGAGAAACATGACCAATACAGAATTACCGTAATCATATTTAATCATTGTTTATTGAGATAATAAATACCTTTTACTCACAAAAACAAATTTCCTGTACAATTCCTGCAAAAAAATAACTTGAAAAACACCTTTTATTTTACCAAATCATCCTTTACTTCCTTTCAAATGAAACCTTAATGCTGAATGATGTTGAATAAACATTATTTTCAGTGATATAAGTGGTTTAATTTCTGCTAATCTAGTAATGAACTCTAACTATTAATGTTTAAACCTTTAAAACTACTTTTTTTTTTATTCCATACGATGTTACATGTTTGATAAAGTTTAACCCCTTACGCCAGGGGTCTTCAACGTTTTCCAGGCCAAGGACTCCCAAACTGATGTATAGATGGAGCGGGGACCCGCTAATTATATATATTGTATTCAATTGTGTTATATCAAACTGGTCCTATATGTAAGGAAAGTAATTTCTCTGTGGGATTATTAAAGTATTTCTGATTCTGATTCCTGGTTGGGTCAGGTGTTGTGAATGAATCGGTTCCCAGCTTGAATGAGTTCCTGCACTGCAAAAACATTCTACAAATGAGAAAAAAAGGTTTTAAAATAAGTGTATTCACCCTTAATTTAAGCCGGAAAATAAAATGATCTGCAAATGGAATGAGCATTTTTACCCTTGAAATAAGAGACTTCAGTTGTTTTTTCTTATTTTAAATGTTAATGGTCTTATTCCATTGGCAAAGTGTCTGCTCAATTTAAGAAGAAATCCACTTACTTTAAGAAATAATTACTAAAATTAGATTAACAGTTTTTGCATTGTGTGTCTCTGAATGTGTGCATTGATGACTGAAAGACATCTTCTGCCTCCATTTATCTGTTTACTACAGTGTGTTGGATTCATGTTAATGTGGATTTAAAAACATTTCAATGAGTGGAAAAAATTGCAGAGGGAAATAAAAAAAAAAGTCTAATCAACCAAAACTTTCGCGACCCCCATGCAGAACCTCCGTGGACCCCCTAGGGGTTGCGAACCCCTTGTTGAAGACCTCCACCTTAAGCCCTTAGGGTCAAATTCCACCTGAAATTACATATGTGCATTATTGCAAGTACAGCTCCCAAACTATAATTTGGAAATATAATTGTTTGTATTTGTATGGCAGAAAGGAATTGAGGAATATTTTTTAGGCGGAACAACTATTTTAAATGTAACCATGTCTGATTTATGGGTGATTAAACAAAGAAAAAAAGAAAAATATTTGGCCTCGCCAATTGTTTTTTTCAAAATAAAAACTGCAAAACAGCATGAAAGCTCATTTGAAACTATAGATGAACCCTCAGACTTTATAGATCCACATCTTGACTATAACTCAGGAAAATTTCGACTGAATAAGTTAAAGCATGTTTGTTCCACAAAGGTTTTAGTGGGCTGTGTGTTAGGCGGAAATTCCACTCATAAAAGGGAATCTGGTCAGACAAATATGCTGATTTACATTATTGGAAATAAGACAAAATGCTCCTAACATTTAGCCGTTGTTTCATTGAAATTTTACCAATAATATCACCAAACTGAATAGAAAATAAGAATAACAGAGCAAGCTTATCTAACACATAAGCTTGTTTCATTACTGCCGTAGAGTCACACATGTCCGGTGGAATTTTAAATCTCAGTATATTTTTTTACACAGCTATAATACAAAAAGTACTTTTGAAAAAAATAATTTTGAAACATATTTTAGAAATTTTAAAGCCCCATTTGAAAGGCGTGTGGATGAAACACCATGTGACTGTTTTAGCCATTTCTATAAATAGATAAACATGAGCAGGTGTCAGTTGGGCCCTGTACCAGGGGTTAACACACACTGTGTGTATATATATATATATATATATATATATATATATATATATATATATATATATATATATATATATATATATATATATATACACTCACCGGCCACTTTATTAGGTACCCCATGCTAGTAACGGGTTGGACCCCCTTTTGCCTTCAGAACTGCCTCAATTCTTCGTGGCATAGATTCAACAAGGTGCTGGAAGCATTCCTCAGGGAGTTTGGTCCATATTGACATGATGGCATCACACAGTTGCCGCAGATTTGTCGGCTGCACATCCATGATGCGAATCTCCCGTTCCACCACATCCCAAAGATGCTCTATTGGATTGAGATCTGGTGACTGTGGAGGCCATTTGAGTACAGTGAACTCATTGTCATGTTCAAGAAACCAGTCTGAGATGATTCCAGCTTTATGACATGGCGCATTATCCTGCTGAAAGTAGCCATCAGAAGTTGGGTACATTGTGGTCATAAAGGGATGGACATGGTCAGCAACAATACTCAGGTAGGCTGTGGCGTTGCAACGATGCTCAATTGGTACCAAGGGGCCCAAAGAGTGCCAAGAAAATATTCCCCACACCATGACACCACCACCACCAGCCTGAACCGTTGATACAAGGCAGGATGGATCCATGCTTTCATGTTGTAGACGCCAAATTCTGACCCTACCATCCGAATGTCGCAGCAGAAATCGAGACTCATCAGACCAGGCAACGTTTTTCCAATCTTCTATTGTCCAATTTCGATGAGCTTGTGCAAATTGTAGCCTCAGTTTCCTGTTCTTAGCTGAAAGGAGTGGCACCCGGTGTGGTCTTCTGCTGCTGTAGCCCATCTGCCTCAAAGTTCAACGTACTGTGCGTTCAGAGATGCTCTTCTGCCCACCTTGGTTGTAACGGGTGGTTATTTGAGTCACTGTTGCCCTTCTATCAGCTCGAACCAGTCTGGCCATTCTCCTCTGACCTCTGGCATCAACAAGGCATTTCCGCCCACAGAACTGCCGCTCACTGGATGTTTTTTCTTTTTCGGACCATTCTCTGTAAACCCTAGAGATGGTTGTGCGTGAAAATCCCAGTAGATCAGCAGTTTCTGAAATACTCAGACCAGCCCTTCTGGCACCAACAATCATGCCACGTTCAAAGTCACTCAAATCACCTTTCTTCCCCATACTGATGCTCGGTTTGAACTGCAGGAGATTGTCTTGACCATGTCTACATGCCTAAATGCACTGAGTTGCCGCCATGTGATTGGCTGCTTAGAAATTAAGTGTTAACGAGCAGTTGGACAGGTGTACCTAATAAAGTGGCCGGTGAGTGTATATATATAGCACTTTCTTAGGCATAACAAAGCTACTCAAAGCACATTCCACTAGAACTACCAGGTACAGTCACAACTCACACATATTTATGCTCAGATAAACAGATTTGTAGGTAACTTGGGGGGAAATTATGGAGGATAAAAAGTGCCAAAATTAAATAAATAAATACAGCGATAAGCAATTAATTAAATGTGTAATTCATTAAATAAATAAGGAATTAAATATATAAATGTGTCATTAATTTAATAAAATACGTCTTCATTTTATTAAAAAAATATATATAATTATTTCAGTGTGCATTTAATTATTTCATGGTCCTGTGTCGCAGTGCATCGAAACCATTAAAAGAATCTGTCAAACTCACCCATCAAAGTTAGGGGGTGGGGTTAACGCGAATCGAGTCTCTGTAATCGATTTGCTTCGCCTTAATGTGCGGGGTGACCAATCAGGTGTTATTTATTTAATGTTGTATTTAGTTATTTAATTTTGGCACTTTTTATCCTCCATATGAAATGCCTTCTTTAAAGACAAATCAATGCATAGCAGCTGTTCACAATCAGCAAAACAGCTTCAGGATGTAGCTGGTTGATCTCTGATCTCTAAATTTCAAGTCTCTTCCTTGGCTAGAGCATGTAAATAAAACCTCTACCTCATTTATCTCGCTTCAGGTCTGCATCTGATTGGCTAATCAAGCCCTCATGGTGACTCCTGGGTCACTTTTTCACACTGAGAATATTCTGTGTTGGCTTAGTCATGTAGGAATTTAGACTGAATGCATTTAGTCGTGTAAAAAGGAGGGCTGGGTAATTAGGGAGGGGCGACAACAACGTCAGGGTACTTTGTCCGTCTGCTGTTCTTGTGAATTGGAACAGTCCTAGGGCTGAGGCTGATGACCTTTCTCAAGTACACGAGAATGCACAAGTAGACATGTTGAGAAACGGCTAAGGTTTCCCAGACTTTTGGAGCACACAAAAAAAAAATCTATTGCATCTAGGGATGGAACGGTTTATGAAAACCGTCCGAACCGTTCGGTTCGACTGTCTCCGTTCGGTTCGCGTGTGTTGCGTTCGGTTTATACGCTGCTCCTTTTTCTTATAGGCGAAGCGATTACACTCCAGAGCAGAAGGTGGCGGTACTGCGACCAAAGCCAACCACCAGTAGTAAACAAGAAGAAGAAGAAGCGAAGCAGCGTAGCCGGGTGTAGCAGGAAAAAAAATCAGTTGTTGTGGAGAATTGTGTGGGTATGGCGAGTGGGAAAGAACAGGAGTTGGAAGACGCGCCAGCAGCACTTTATAGGTCTGCTGTATGGGACCACTTTGCATTTAGAGTGACCTACGATGACGGTGGAAAGAAAGTTGTGGATAAAAGGGCAACAGTGTGCAAGCATTGTGCAACACGTTTTGTTTATGCTAACAGCAACATGACCAACATGTCATGCTAACCCAGAAATCCCACATACTCCGTCAGCACTCCGCTCCGCTGCGCTCCAGACCGCCTGCACAAAGCAAAGCCTACAGCCTCCGCTGTGGCTCCCGTCCGCTCCGCTCTGAGTTCCTTGGAGATCGTAGAGGGCATGCGCTAGATGATTAAATTCAAAGCAGCAAAACATGTGGAAATGATCCAGGGTTTCCGCGAATCATTAAAAATAATTACAATTCATTAATTTTTGTGGATTTTTTCATTAATTTTTATGGGATTTCGATGTAACAATCAACATATACCGAACCGAACCGAAAACCGTGACCACGAAACCGTGAACCGAACAGAACCGTGGATTTTGTGAACCGTTCCACCCCTAATTGCATCACAGATCTTCCAAAACAGACGTGAAAAAGAGCCTTTTTTCACATATTTATCTATTCAAACCCTCTTGGAGTTTTTGTTGCTAGAATTCTTACTTATGACACCATCTATTCCAGGGGTTCCTGAAGTTCAAAAATAGACTTTGAAAAAATTTCAACAAAATGAATACATTCTAACTAAAACTGTAATAAGATTTTACAAAATGAATGAAAACAAATATATTTTAATAGAGAATGGGCTTAGGTTCCATCTGGGTCTTTATCATAATGCTTTAATATGAGGTCTGGTTTCTGGTTGCCTAAAATGTTTGGGAACCTCTGATCTAATCCAAGCGCACATTTTCATTCAAAGTCCAAGGAAGAAAAAAGTTCTTCTTTCCTTCAAGGATCATTATTTGTTGAAAACACCCCAAAATAATCAAATCTAGAATTTTCAAACTTCAAACCAACCTTTCTGCCCCCTTTTTTTGTTTTCGTTTTTTTACAGAGTAAAACACAACCCCATCGTCGAGGGGAGTACAACGTTTACAGCACATTCCAGAGTCACGAGCCTGAGTTTGACTACCTGAAGAGTTTGGAGATCGAGGAGAAGATCAACAAGATCAAATGGCTCCCTCAGCAGAACGCAGCGTACTTTCTGCTCTCCACCAACGGTCAGTTCCTCAATTCCTGATGCCGTTCTACGATCATTCCTCCGTAAACCACTGAAATGATTTTCTGTACCACTTGACTTCAAACTCAGGTGTTAATATGTGGCGTTTGTTTCGCTCGGCTGAGCGGACGCCACCAGCAGAAGAGTTTCAAATTAAGGGCTTCATGCATGGATGCTGCTGCAGGAACACGCATACATATAAGCATGTTCCACCACACTAGCTTAGACAGACTGGTAGAAAACACTGAGATGTCTTGCAGATTGTTGGCTTCATGCATGGCTGCTATAGAAGCGCTGGCGGTGGCTGTAGCAGATGGTCGAGGGTCCTGTGGTGACGGCCTCCGTGCTCTGAGACCAATATACACATTGGAAATTAAAAGCAGCCTGACTGCTGCTGCCATCCACTTCAGTAGACCGAGAAGATGAGATGTAACTGGTGTTTATGGGAAGGAAGATTGAAAAGTGCCGAGATGGCTTCTTTAAGGGGAGGGGTGCAGGATAGTGTGGCAATGAAATGAAGTCAACTGGTAGATTGATATCGGTGATATCAGAATGAACACGAGCCGCCGTTCATCATCGTCCCTGGCTGCTGCCCAGCGACGTGACAGATTGGCTGCCCAACCCCCCCCACCCCAAACAAGTAAGACGGAGATTCTCTGCTGTGAGCCTCGGATTGAACTTCATCTGTTTCTCTTTGGTTTTTTCCAGACAAAACCGTGAAGCTGTGGAAGATAAGCGAACGGGACAAGCGTCCAGAAGGCTACAACCTGAAGGATGAGGACGGGCGCTTCAGGGACCCCTCCACCATCACCTCTCTGCGAGTAAGACACCTGTCGGGTCCAACAGCACCAACAGAGTGTCACATTTGGGATGTTAAACACGGTGCTGCAATATTAAGTGGTGAAATGCACACTTCAGGATTGTTTCATAAAAAATTCTATAATCTATATTTATCAACACTACAGACATTTTAATCATTTCAGTATCAAAAGGAAGAAAAGATCAGCCTTGATTTCAAGATTTCAAAAAAGGAACAACAGTAAAAACATATTAAAGGCATACTATGCAACATTTTTCAGTTAATTAATGTGTTCCATAACGTTTTGGATGATTAAATGAGTCATTTCAGGTCAAACAAAGGTTTTCTCGGCCGCCCTGGTGGTCTGTAGGGGAAATACCGTACTTGCAATTGCAGGAACCCTCGGCCCGCACCCACAGGCTCAGAAGTCTCATGCATCGCGAGAGTCGGTCTTGCTTTACGGCGAGAACTGCTACACGCCCCCAATGAAAGGCATGCTCGTTGCTAGCATAGTGCCGATATTTTTGCAGTTAGAGAAAACAGCGAAAGCCCATGTCAGAGCAGGTTGTTTAGACCATTTTCAATTCTTTGAAATGTACTAATTCAGTGCTCGAGGTACAAAACCACAGAAATCAGAACCCCCTTCCCCCAACGGCAGTCGGATAAATGTATGGGAAACTCCAACTTGGCTAACTACAATCTTTGTTATTTAGACACATGCATAACAAATAATGTATGAAAACTTGCTAAATTTTCAAACTAGAAAATTGGAACAAAATAGTCACTTACCGCAGTAGACATGGTGATTGGTTGCGTTCTCCTGTCTGCTAAGCTCAAAACAACCGCGCCTGGCTTGACGGAGAAACCAGGAGAACAGCTGAGCATATTTACGACAGTGCACTTTTACTTTCGCCCTCTGGGGGGAGCCTCGCTGGAAAATCAACACCGGTTGCATAGTATACCTTTAAAGGAAAAGTCCAGTCAGCAAGGAATGATCAATGAATCATCATTTATACCAAAAACTAATATGTCCACATTGATTTAATGAATTTAGTGTCAATCAGTTAAAAAAATAAAAATAATAATTCTCGTCGCTGTCACTGAGTCTGGGAGCGGCCATTTTCACCCGAATTTTATAACCCCTCCCTCCTGCCATCTTCCAGCAGTGACGTCACGGTGCGGTGAGCCTAGCGCCATTCTCCCCACTTTACAAGCTAAATCAATGGGAACTACTAGACACATCTGCAATCAACAACAATTATTGAAGATTTCCAGAGGACTTCACCATTGAAATTCACCAGAGCTATAGTGAAACTGACAATGCCCACGTGCATGGCAGCTGGATGCTGGAATACATCGGGTAAAAGTGAAAAAAAAGAGTTATTCCACCTTTCTGATTCCTGATCCTCCACGGACGGGTTGGTCGTTGGATCGCCAACTTGAAGAGGGAGGATTTGCCATCGAACTTCTGGCCAGAGAAAAAACCCGTAATATGTAGCCAACATTTGGAAGAAGAATGTTTTCAAGATGACTTGGATAATAGCGCGTTGTGACAAACACCAGATACAGCACTGGGACTTGATCAACAGCCGATACCGCACCGTGACGTCACAAACCAGTAGGTGGCAGTAGTGTTCTTTGACAAACATGGATGCCTCCAATAAAGCACATTCTAATAGCCTGACGTAGTCCGACTCAATTCTAGTCAGAATATGAGTCTGATGCTGCTCCATAGAGCTGTGATTATGGGGCGTGTTTCGAACGAACCAGGAAAAAAAATGCCTCTGCACTCAATTGGATAGACCTACAACCAATAAGAGCAACGGAGTGCGTGACGTATGTTAAGCGAGGCATAGTTGTTGTCCACAAAAATCAAAGCGTGCAGTTTCGCGTTTCTCTGTTCCTCTTTTAAAATTAATTTGCTGTCGATATCTTCTAGAACAGACCTAATAGCAGAATCTACTCACCCAAACTCTCCAGCGGCAGCCATTATTGTTGTCACCCTAGCGCGCTTTGGTCACGTGGTTGATTACGTTACTGTTGATCATCTGTCCATCATCGTATAAAGCCCGCCCTGACAATTTGATTGGATCGCCTGACAGTGGGCTTTAATACTCGCGCTACTATGGAGCAGAGCCAGACCGAACTTCCCCGAACTCAAACCTTGTGGGCGGGACTAAGTTCTGACTGGCACCCAGGCTAACATTCTAATGAAAATTACTCTGAATTAAAAAACACTTCTTATTTATTGAACAGTATGGAATAATTTAATATTTAAAGGACTTTCAGAAGTTTGAATTCTGAAAATGACCACCGGACTTCTCCTTTAAAGGGACAGTTTGCATGATTTACACCCATCTAGTTATGCATTAGATGGATAACAAACGACAGACTGGTGCCGCCATATATGCAGACGCCTCATTGGTCGCTGGGCGACTTGCCATCTCGGATCGGACCACAGTTCAGACAGCTGCTGTCAGAATGAATCAGAGACGCCTTAGATGTCACTTTAATCACATGAAAGATGAGTCAGAGATAATATCACAATAATCTCTTACATGAAACAACCACTCAAAAGACCATCCGTACATCCGTAGCTTTGCCTCTCACTGGTCAAAGAGTACAGATGATCCTCCATTGAAACAGAAAGTAGGAGGTAGAATGATCAATCTTTTTTTTGCTCATTTTAAACGCCTCTCCAACCCACATCACATTTTCTGATTCAGTTAAAAGATGTAAACCTGAAAGGATTGTCTCCTTTCAGCAACACTGATCGAAAATGGCGTCGCAACATGGCGTCTCCCGCTAGTTGTCCCTTTCCCCCCATGTATTTATAACCTCCTAGTTCGCTTTAATATTGGATGTGACATATACAGTATGCACTGGGAAAAATCATTTTTTCTTAAAATAAGTGCGTTTTTTTCTTGAATTGAGGAGGTAAGTGAGACACTTTGCCAATGGAACAAGACAATTTACATTTAAAATAAGAAAAAAAACTATTTCACTGTCTTATTTCAAGTGTATATTATCTAAAAACCTTATTTTAAGAGGCAAAATTCTCATTCCATTTAAAAATCATCTAATCAACCTACTCAAATCAAAGGTAATTACACTTAATTTAAGACATTTTGACTTATTTCTAGATCGTTTTTGCAGTGTGGTAGCAGAATATGTATTTATTAAAGCAGTAATTGATTTTTGCTCATAAAAAAGCCCCATTTGAAAAAAACATTTCAGCTCAAGTTTACTGAAAGAGACAAGAGAAGAAAAGATGAAATGATTGATTAAAAAAATAAACATTTGCTCTGTGGTTCAGTTAAAGATCAAAATAAAGGAATATTTTTAAAATTGAAAGGAGCTTCTTGGCCTCTAACGCCCCCTGTAGTTCCTCTTCTTATATATATATATATATATATATATATATATATATATATATATATATATATATATATATATATATATATTATCTCATCTACTGTGAAATAAAATTATGCTGATAAAGTACATTTTAACCCTTTAAAGCCCGATCCAAGAATAAAACAAAACAGAAAATTTGGCCTTTTAACAAAATATGTAAAAAGAAAAAACAGAAATACATTTTTTATATTAATAATTTATTTCTATGCGATAAGTCAATGTTAGTTTTTGTGTAGTCTTCTGCCCTCTGTTATCAGGTATATCTGATTTTGTACAATAGGATTTACAGCAAAGTTTTTACCATTAAATTATGCAAAAGGTGTCAGACGCAAAACATTTCAGAAACCGTAATTATCAAATATGATACATTTGGCATTACAGGGTTAAATGTCCCACCGCTTCTTTATTTACTGTTTCTAAAAAAAAAAGAATTGTTTAGTTTATATTGGACAAATGAAAAAAGTTAATTTATGTTCCAAACGTGATTTTAGGAGCTGCTTAAAAGAAAAACAGAATTTTTAATGTTGTAGATGCTGATGGCCTCTTTCTCCTATACAGGATTGATTCCATATTTTCTGGTTGAAATAACAGGACATTTTAAACATAACCCTGGTAGACTCTGCCAGTACGCCCCCCCCCTGTTTAAAAAGGACCAAATTAACACCGAAATGCTTCAGTAGACACAAAGACATCCTTCTCTCAGATCCACATCCCACAGAAAACCCACGGGGCGAGCTGAAGGGAAAGCAGGAGGATTTTAAAACAACCGTTCCCCACTGAATACAGTTTTCAAATTAAAATTTGGATGACCCTGTTTGTGTCAGAGTGAGATTATGCTCTTGCTGAATTCTCCGTCATTTGACAGACCGGACTCGCTGCTTCTGTTCACTTTTTTTAGTCCCTTGAGTTCATGTTGTCCCCTGGAATCTCACTAAATGTGTCTCCGCTTTAATAATTTATGAGGTATGCTCCAGTTTTTCAGGACACTATAAGAACATTTCAGTATAGCTTGACGACACTATAAACTCTGAGGGAAACACGATGGTTAGGATTTAGGAATGCAGCATATTTAACACTTTAATCCCAGACGGTTTTTTGGAGCAACTTCCTGAAATAAATCAAGCACAGCTCCTAAATTACAAAGCTTAAATGGAAAATGTTGTATCTGTGTGATAGAAAGGCATTAAAGAAAGGTTTCTATGTATAACCACTATTCTAATATAAAAAAAAAAAAACGTTTTGATCCTCACCTAAATGTTTTCCAAAAAGAAACGCTGCAAAATATCAGGAGAACCCCTTTGAGATCGGGAGGTGGTCATGAGAGGCTGATTGCCCCTCGTTACCACCTGTACACTACAGCAGTGTTCCCCAACCACCGGGCCACGGTCCGTCGGTCATTTGGTACCAGGCCGCACAGAAAAAAGTATATATATATATATATATATAATTTATCGACAATCAGAGTCTGAGTGATGTTTTATTTTGAAAAATATAAAAGAATTGCGGTATTCTCTCCCAATTACATCAGTCGGTGCAACTGCGCCTCTTGACACAGGTTAATTCAGGTCAAGACTCATCCTATCTATAACATCCTATCTTTGTGAAGCGGGATTTTCTGCGGTTACAGCGACCAAAACAAAGCGACGCAGCAGACTGGACATCAGGAGCGCACTTCATCTGTCATTGTCTCCGATTACGCCTAGATGGGACCGGCTTGTTGTTTTATTTTTATGCAGTTAGTATTTGATTTTATGCCAGTCGTATCATCATATCATCCTCGGCCGGTCCGTGAAAATATTGTCTGACATATAGCGCTCCGTGGTGCAAAAAAGGTTGGGGACCGCTGCACTACACGACGCACAATCAGGCTTAAAGTAAGGCCGATCGGAACATTTTTTGCATGACTGGAAAGTCGGCCTGAAAAGGGCAAAAAAATCGCACAGTGTTTGTCCGGCTTTAGATGTCAGAACCATTCAAAGCGGACCTCAAGCCTACAGAGTCAGACTCTGAGTCGAAGGGTGAGGCTAATATGACGGCAGCAGCCCCGGTAGAAAACACACAGCGGGGAAACACGTCTTGCTACGCCTCTGGTACAGATAGCATAACCAGTTATTAGTTTATAAATATAAAAGAGTATATAATACTTTTAAATACATGATTTTCAAATAAATCCACTTCTTTTAGAAGAAGCAATCTACTATATTGTTATAGGTCTAGTCAGTTCATAGACAGGTTAATGTTCTCCTGCTGTTGGCAGCAGAACACATTACTGTTAAACTGTCAAACCAAGCGACTCTTTCAATAAGGAGAATAAAAGAAGAGTAAAAATAAAACTCCTTCTCAAAATGTTCTAACCAAAGAAGAAACACCATGAACTTCTCCTGATCTCATCTGACCTGCTTCACCCACTTTGAGACCAGCTCAGGATCCTTAGGAAACTTTAATATACTGCCGCCATCTTTATCGGTGTGGGAGGAAAAAGTTTAAACACAACACTAAGGCGTAGCTGTATCTTAATCCACGAAAACTTCAGCAGCTGTCCATAACAAACCCACCGTTCCCGTTCTGCAGTATACTTCACCCCCGTTTTCTCCCTCAACAGGCAGTGTTGTTTTGATTAAAAACTATTTTACCCTTGAAATGTGTCATTAACCGAGGACAGATGGACCCAGTATTCAAGGAGAGACCGTCAGTAGGAAAGTTCAAAAGTTTATTAAATAAAACAAAACAAAAGTGGAGCTGTGGCTCGCGGACACTGCAGGCGGGGCACCGCCCAATCTCAGACACTCTGTAGTGGGAGAAACACAGGTAAGTGACCAAGATCATCTGACAGAAGATTATCTGTTGGTCACTTACCTGGTTTAACAGTCCAGACCAAGAATGTCCTCAAGTGCTGCAGTCCCAGAGGACATGCTGGAATCCGATCCTGGTCAGGGATCCAGAACAGACAGGAACAGGATCCAGATCAGGCAGGAACAGAAACAGGTGGCAGGATCCAGACTTCCAGGCATCCACAGGCTCCTAGGAGGGTTCAGAGTCTGACTGGGACCAGAAGCATGACCAGGTGGTCACGCACAGGAGCAGACAGGATCAGGTGCAGACAGGCAGGCTCAGTGGAAGAGGGTAGCCGAGACAGGACGTGGAACTGGAACTTGATGCAGGACTTTAAACTGGTCTCCTCCCTGGAGCCAGGCTTACTGAGATAAAAACTGAACCTCCCCCCATAATGAGCCAAAAACCCAGAGGACTCAGCAGGGGAGGAACAGTGGATGATAAAGGAGATGAGACAAACACAGAAACCCTCTTTCCACTGGCTGCCAGGATCCAGGACATGAACCATGAAATAAAACTGAAACTGAAACGACAGACTGACAGAAAGACAAGAAATGATCTGGCACTAAATGCTCAGGCTGAAGGGAATTTAAACCAGCGGAAACAGGTGAGGGGAAGAAATTGTAATTGAGGACGGGAGGGAAAACAGCAGGTGAGAGGAATTACTAATTAGGAGGAAGCAAACAGGCCAGATCATGACAGAAATGATTACATCAATCATCAGTAATATCGTTTTGGTCTAAAAAAATAAAATGGAAAAGGTCAATATCATGTCATTATCCTCTACGGGGTTAAACTCTCCCTTTCAGCAAACGCTTTTTACGCAATGAGTCACACTTTACCAAAAAACTTGATGTCATCCAGACAATCAAGCATCTCGCTGGGATACCATTACTCATGGGTCAGGAGGGAAAACAAATGCTTTCATCATCACGTCATTTTTTAACTTTATTTCAGTTGTAATATCAGATAATCGCTTTTATGGCAAACAAATTTGAGGTATGTTGTCTCTGAGCAATTTAAAGCAACGGTTAGTATTGGAGAGATTTATTTTTATAGCTTATCCACCAATTAAATTTTTCACACAAGCTCATTGCGTGTACGCAGCGTGTGCTTATCTGTCATTGCAGATTAGCGCTGAGTTTAGCATGTCTGTCCCTTCTTTGTCTGGCTGGCCAGGGGATCATAGCTGCCTAGAGGACAGGCCGCGACTGTGGCAATCCTTTTTAGATGCTGTGAAGGGAAAGTGAAGCAGAAGGGAGGGTGTCTCACGAGAAAAAGTCGTCTTTGAAGATATATTTTGATCTATACGCACGTTTCAAACTAGATCGGAAATCAGCAAACAATCAGGGTGAAAACCTACGCAGATGAGACAGGTTGTAGACCGCTGACAGTCGGTGTTCTGGGTTATGGGTTAATAAGGCGCATGTCTCTCTGGACGGCTGGGGAAAGACATGGAAGGGAAGTGACACCCGTGGAGATACAGCGACCTGCTGGGCTGTCACGTCTTTCAATCAGCGCCAGCAGCGGACAAAAAAAACCAATGGGGAAGAAGCGGACGATTTGTCCTCCTGACTCCCTCCCCTCTTTTCTCTCTTTGTCTGGGTTTTATCTGGGCAGCAGGGGGGGGGGCTGCATGCAGGGGCGGTTGATGAGCATCTTTGAAGCTCCCGCAGCTTTGTGCAGACCGTGTGTGTTGCTGGGACTTTAATGTGCGGCCATCTTAATTCTGTAGCGTTCAGGTATCATTCCTCAGCAGGGCCTTGCGATGCCCCCAGGCTCTCTCTTTTCCCACCTCCATCACTTTTTTCCCAAATATCTGTGAGTCAAGCAAACAATAAAAGCGAGCGAGGCTGACATCTTCAGCAGTCGGGTGAGGAGAAATTGAGGTGTGATCACAAAGATACATATCTGAGGACGCTTTCTGGAAACAATGTTAAGTTCAAGCAGAATAATGTATGAATCTGACAGTCGGCATGAAAGATGTATATTTCTTTGCATATTTTCTGATATATGACGCTGACGAATCTCCCCCCCCACACACACACACACACAGGTGCCTGTTCTGCAGCCCATGGATTTGATGGTGGAGGCGACAGCCAGGCGCGTCTTCAGCAACGCCCACACGTACCACATCAACTCCATCTCCGTGAACTCTGACCTGCAGACCTTCATCTCCACGGATGACCTCCGGGTGAACCTGTGGAACCTGGAGATCACGGACCGCAGCTTCAGTATCCTTTTAATCACACTTAGGATCCTAAAAACAAAGAGTTAGCATTTAGCCTTTATAAAGATTTAATTTTGATCATTTTTCTGGTGTTTTGTTGGTAAGTCGATAATAGAGGACCAAGGTGGAGAAAAAGGAAATGTTCTTCAAAATCCAGATTTTTAAAAATCTCTTTGTTTTTGTTTTTTTTTCTTACTTTGGGGGGATTATTATTATTATTTTTAATTTCTGTTTCTCCTGCTTAAATTGACCAATTGCATTCTTTAAATGTTGGGAGCAGGTTAACTGGATGTTAGCAACAACATTTTTATTCATCAAAAGCGAGCTGTTGTGTTGGGCTTCAAGTGATGATAAATTGCAAAATTGTAAAATGCGATTTGAATTCATAAAAATTTAATCTGAAAATGTTTTGAAAAACTAAAATTTAAACGTCTAAGGGCCGGATCTATCAAAGGTTTGCGTGTATAAAAACGTGAGCTATTTCACTGCGCACGCTAAAAAATGTACAAACTGATCTATCAACAGCGTGCTAAAAGGATTTGGTCTTTAAAACGTGCTAAATAGCGCCTCTTATCCATTTAGTACTTTTTCTGCAATGAATATGCAATATGGGGAGTTTACACGCAAAAGTGCGTCTTGTGGGAGGAGAACATGTAAATATATTAATTTAGCACTCGCAAAGTTATTTATCAAACCTGAAAGCAATTTTGCTAACGGTATCTGACTCTATATTTAACACGTTTCAAAAGAAGGTGCAAATGGTCTGTATGCGTAATTGCGCACACATGGCAGCGGTTATTGTCGCAAGAAGGAGACATCGAAATGAAGCAAGGAGACGCAGAGAACGCATTTTTTCACTCCGTGTGAATATTTTTGGAATGAACGAGAAAACGATCATCAAAACATATCGTTTATCCAGCATTGCCATTTTGGAGCTGCAATTCCAGTGATTTGCTCCTCACAGTGCGTCAGCTGTACTTGTTCCTCAATGCTGGTCAGAGGCTCTACTACTGTGCCCCCTCCTGTTTTGTTCGCAGATGTTTTGTTATATGCCAGTTTTTCTTTGGTTCGCCTTCTAATATCCTGGTATCTTCTTTTTACTTCATCCACTGTTCGCAAGGTTTCACCGACAGCGTTTACTTTATTACAGATTTGTTCACATACAGCGTTCCTCTGTGTGCAAATGTTTGTTGGCTTCATCCACCAACACCTCCATTTCCATGGGGTCGAATTTCCTTTTGCGCTTTCTGCTGTCCAAACTCGCCATGCCGCAAACCACAAAACGCGCAAAACCATCATTTAAATAGGGCGTCTCCAACAGTTTTGCACCTGCCACCAGTTACGCAATCGCTCTTGTTAAATCACCCGCAAACCATGGTTCAGCCCCTCGTGCATAATTCCAGTTTGCGAGCGCAAATTACTGCATGCAAAATTGGATCTTGATAAATCCGGCCCCATAAGGTGCAAAACCTAGATAAAGTTTAACATTAAATGGAATTACTGTAGGAATCCAATCTGAGAAGCTACTTCCCTTTTTCAATTGCGCTTTTCATTTCTGGATTGTATTTTTATTAAATTTTAATTTACAAAGCACCTCTGTCTGCAAGAATAATGGAACAAAGTTCACTCCATAATTTTCAAATAGAGTGTTAGGGTTAGTGAAATCAAAGTTAATATTTGCAGCTAGGTTTTGTGTGATTAGCTGCGCTTTAGGTTTGTTTGTACCCGCTTTTTTTTTTTTTTTTTTTAACCCTGTTTCTTTCATTGGTGTCCCAAATTCAATGGGACATTTGAAGGTATGAAAATAAGGGTGTCGTCTTTATTTAATGGTTCTTTTTGGCCAACAACCATTTATGTAGTCTGAACATTTTTATACAAGCTTTCATAAATGAATGTGGAACTTGTTCTTCAGGCATTTTTGCACCTAAATCTGCAGCAGTTCTCTATGACGGACCGTCATAGTGATGTAAATAAACAAGGTTTGATTTTGGTGATCTCTTCCTTCCTGTGTCTGTGTGCGACCTCAGATCACCGCTTTTTGGTCTGAGCCTGCACACTGCAAAAATGGTCTAGACATAAGTAAAAATGTCTTAAATCAAACGTATTTACACTTCGTTTTAGTAGGTAAATGGGATTATTTGCCAATGGATTGAGTATTTTTACTCTTAAAATAAGATTATTAGATAATATGCACTTGAAATAAGACAATGCGGTTGCTTTTTCTTATTTTAAATATAAATTGTCTTGTTCCATTGGCAAAGTATCTCACTTAACTCCTCAATTCAAGAACAAATGCACTTTTTTTTTAAGAAAAAATTACTTATTTAGATTTCCATTTTTTGCAGTGCATCAGGCAGCAACTTCATAAATGAGCATTGGAAAACTTTTTTTTTAAATTACAATCACATTAAAGATCTATTTGTTCTGTTAATTAAATCCTAGATATCCTCTTTGGTCCTTAGCCTGCGTCTCTCAGACATTGTAGACATTAAGCCAGCCAACATGGAGGAGCTGACGGAAGTCATCACCTCAGCAGAGTTTCACCCCCAGCAGTGTCACACCTTCGCCTACAGCAGCAGCAAAGGCTCCATACGCCTCTGTGACATGAGGCAGGCCGCCCTCTGTGACAAGCATTGCAAATGTGAGTATCAGGAAAGAGCACCAAAGGGGGGGAAAAACCCGTTAGATGTCACAGAGTGAAACAGGGCGTGGCTAATGTATTTGGGATCCATACCAGTATGGATTTTCTGTGACATGATGCACAGCGTGTGGGTGTGTGGGGGTGTTTGTGTGAGCTGGAGGATGGTGTCTGTGTTTGTGCTTATTTTCTGATCTGTGGTTAATTCTGAGAAATTTCATGTGGTTTTCGGTTGATTTTTGTCTTTCTACAAATTTTCAGTTCAATTCAGTTTATTTATTATAGCACCAATTCAAAACGCTTTACAGTTTACAGTCTTTACAGTTCACCAGATCAGATTGATTTAAAGTTTTCTAAGGAAAACCAGCTGATTGCATCGACTCATTGACTCGAAGGCAATCCCTCACACTAAGCATGCTTGTGTTTTATCTAAAATCTTTAATTCTGCTAAAAGTAACAGGCACGTGTTTTGTTCAGCTAAGTTATTACAGAACTAACAGAGCCTGTAAAGCTGATCTAATTCGAAAAAATTTCAGAACCAAAAGCTAAAATAAAAAAATAGGCAATGTTTACCCTGAACTGGCTCATCTTGCTGTAGCTGCATCACAGTTTGCCACCACTGATAACCCATCAATTAATCTTCCACCGCGTCTCGGACAATGAGCGGCCTTCTCTACGCCTTACTGTCACATGCAAACACTTTGCTCAGATGAATAATGAATACATTGACATTTTCACTGGGAAATCAATGTCATAAGAGCAATTACATTAGTCCCCCCTGGACACACCTTGTTGCTCGATAATATCAGTCATTTCCTCAGACATATTGATGAATCCATTGTGCCTGTTGAATATCGCATAAGCATTAGAGTCTCTGCTAAAACAAATAAAACCAGATTCTGGAGGATATTTTAGGGATTTTGTTGGGTTGATGCGAGAATAAAGAATAAGTTTAAGGTCTCTATTATATTCTTCAGGAAAGAAGTGTTAATGCTCACTATCTTACTGCATGAACTTGCAGAGATGTGTTGTATATAGCAGCAAACAGGCACAAGCTAAAGCGTTTAAAATTTCAATTTTAATTTCATCTCAACTTTAAAAAAGTAATCAAAAGTAATCTTTTAGAGGCTTTTTAAAGTTGTTTTTACAATGTATTTATCCGTTTCTCCCTCTGGTTGCATATAATGTCTTTATAACTAATTACAGCATCCTGTTGGCATATTATTTGTTAGTTACAGTCGTAGGGAAGTCATATTTTAAATTTCAAATAGTTCTGATGTATATAAATCTATCTTTATCAGACCATATTGTCCCAAAAGTTAGAAAATTTCTATTTTTGAAAACATCCCGTCTTAAAATCTGTTTCGTTATCTTCTGCAGGCCAGTTAGTTCTACGTCAGCCTGCACACCTAAATTCGGCCAATCATATATCAACGGTCATCTGTCAATCAAATTTTTTCGGTCATAGCATCTTGATTTATATGTCGCCGCTAATATACGCAACGGTTGAAATCAGAATCCTTTCCTTTCCCATTGAGTTGCGTCCCAGTGTTCACGGGGATGGACGTCTGTGTCTTCAGCAGGCGTAGAGCTAACAGAACTGGCAGCGTTGTGAGGCAAGGGCTTCAGGTTGGAGGAGAGTCCCTGTCTGAAGTGGAGGAGTTTAAGTATGTTGGGGTCCTGTTCACGAGTGAGGGAAGAATGGAGCGGGAGATCAATTGACGGATCGGTGCGGCTGCTGCAATAATGCGGACGCTGCACAGGTCTGTCGGTGAGGAGCTCGGTCATTCGGGAGAGGCTCAGTGTGGCTCGGACATCTTCTTCGGATGCCCCCTGGACGCCTCCCTCGGGAGGTGTTCTAGGCACGTCCCACTGGGAGGAGGCCCAGTGGACGACCCAGGACACGCTGGAGAGACCATGTCTCTCGGCTGGCCTGGGAGCGCCTAGGGCTTCCCGCAACAGAGCTGGAGGAGGTGTCTGCAGAGAGGGAAGTCTGGGAGTCTCTGCTTAGTCTGCTGCCCCCGCGAGCCGGTTCCGGATAAAGCGGGAGACGACGAGTACGAGGATAACAGATACACTATATTGCCAAAAGTATTTGCTCACCCATCCAAATTATTGGAATCAGGTGTTCCAATCACTTCCATGGCCACAGGTGTATAAATTCAAGCACCTAGGCATGCAGACTGTTTTTACAAACATTTGTGAAAGAATGGGTCGCTCTCAGGAGCTCAGTGAATTCCAGCGTGGAACTGTGATAGGATGCCACCTGTGCAACAAATCCAGTCGTGAAATTTCCTCGCTCCTAAATATTCCACAGTCAACTGTCAGCTGTATTATAAGAAAATGGAAGTGTTTGGGAACGACAGCAACTCAGCCACGAAGTGGTAGGCCACGTAAACTGACGGAGCGGGGTCAGCGGATGCTGACGCGCATAGTGCGAAGAGGTCGCCAACTTTCTGCAGAGTCAATCACTACAGACCTCCAAACTTCATGTGGCCTTCAGATTAGCTCAAGAACAGTGCGCAGAGAGCTTCATGGAATGGGTTTCCATGGTCGAGCAGCTGCATCCAAGCCATACATCACCAAGTGCAATGCAAAGCGTCGGATGCGGTGGTGTAAAGCACGCCGCCACTGGACTCTAGAGCAGTGGAGACGCGTTCTCTGGAGTGACGAATCGCGCTTCTCCATCTGGCAATCTGATGGACGGGTCTGGGTTTGGCGGTTGCCAGGAGAACGGTACTTGTCTGACTGCATTGTGCCAAGTGTAAAGTTTGGTGGAGGGGGGATTATGGTGTGGGGTTGTTTTTCAGGAGCTGGGCTTGGCCCCTTAGTTCCAGTGAAAGGAACTCTGAATGCTTCAGCATACCAAGACATTTTGGACAATTCCATGCTCCCAACTTTGTGGGAACAGTTTGGAGCTGGCCCCTTCCTCTTCCAACATGACTGTGCACCAGTGCACAAAGCAAGGTCCATAAAGACATGGATGACAGAGTCTGGTGTGGATGAACTTGACTGGCCTGCACAGAGTCCTGACCTCAACCCGATAGAACACCTTTGGGATGAATTAGAGCGGAGACTGAGAGCCAGGCCTTCTCGTCCAACATCAGTGTGCGACCTCACAAATGCGCTTCTGGAAGAATGGTCAAAAATTCCCATAAACACACTCCTAAACCTTGTGGACAGCCTTCCCAGAAGAGTTGAAGCTGTTCTAGCTGCAAAGGGTGGACCGACGTCATATTGAACCCTATGGATTAGGAACGGGATGTCACTTAAGCTCATATGTGAGTCAAGGCAGGTGAGCAAATACTTTTGGCAATATAGTGTATCTCTGTGAGCCATATATTTACTGTGGGAGCAGAAGGAGAGGTCCATTGTAACAAAATACATTTCTTGGCAAGAAATTGAAGAATTGTAAACAAGGATTTAGAGTGTGCACCCATATGATTAGGGGAAAAATTTAGAAGATAAAACTACGGTGGCCGGGAAGTGCAAACCAGCAATACAAAATCTGAAACACTTTTACAAATCTTGAAACAACTTTACATTTCAGAAAACAAAATTACAACAAACGAAACAATTTTAAAAATCATAAAAGAAATTTACATTTCAGAAAACAAAATTACAACAAACGAAACACTTTTACAAATCATAAAACAAATTTACATTTCAGAAAACAAAATTACAACAAACGAAACACTTTTACAAATCATAAAACAAATTTACATTTCAGAAAACAAAATTACAACAAATAAAACACTTTTACAAATCTTGAAACGACTTTACATTTGAGAAAACAAAATTACAACAAACGAAACACTTTTACAAATCGTAAAACAAATTTACATTTCAGAAAACAAAACTACAACAAATAAAACACTTTTACAAATCTTGAAACGACTTTACATTTCAGAAAACAAAATTACAACAAACGAAACAATTTTAAAAATCATAAAACAACTTTACATTTGAGAAAACAAAATTACAACAAACGAAACAATTTTACAAATCGTAAAACAAATTTACATTTCAGAAAACAAAACTACAACAAACGAAACACTTTTACAAATCATAAAACAAATTTACATTTCAGAAAACAAAATTACAACAAACAAAACAATTTTACAAATCATAAAACAAATTTACATTTCAGAAAACAAAATTACAACAAACGAAACACTTTTACAAATCATAAAACAAATTTACATTTCAGAAAACAAAATTACAACAAATAAAACACTTTTACAAATCTTGAAACGACTTTACATTTGAGAAAACAAAATTACAACAAACGAAACAATTTTACAAATCATAAAACAAATTTACATTTCAGAAAACAAAATTACAACAAACGAAACACTTTTACAAATCATAAAACAAATTTACATTTCAGAAAACACTTTTACAACTGACAAAATCCGACGGAAAGGGAGGGACTGTCTTCGAAGCTTACCCGGAAGTGTTAACCGGAGCGTTCATGATGACCGAAGATGGAAGCTAATCGAGTTGCGTTTTGCCCGTTCTGCAGCACTCATATGAGCAGTTTAACGCGGTTTTATTTTTCCTGTGGTCGGTCCTTGGAGTTTTTAAATGGTACAGAACAGACGGAAGAATCAAATATGCTGCAGCAGTGCATACATTATTTTAATGAGGGTCACTCGTACGCTGTAATCGTAGACATGATGTCATGTTTACATGGTGTACACATCAGCTTGAGGTCTCTGAAAAGCGAACTGAATGATGCCGGTCTTGTGTGAAATTCTGTTTCCCTGTGAAAATCTGTTCCCCCTGTGTCGGGAGCGCGCATTGCAGCCAGAGAGGCGGATCTGCCCATTCTCAAGGCGCTCCTGATCATTTTTCGGTGAAAACAGTTCATATAATCATGTCAACTTTGTAACATACAGTTTAATCGGTTGCTCTTTTTACAAATGTGTAAAATAAATAAATTAACGAGGTCTTCTTAAGCTGTTTTGTGTTGTTTTTTTAAACGCCAGTTTTGTATTTAT